CTTCCGGCTCGCGGCGAGGGGGCGGTGGCGGCGGGGCTGCGGCACTCGGGGCCTCGCGGGCCAGCGTCCGGAAGCTGCGGCTCGGAGGGTGCAGGCGTTCCGGGAAGGACGCCGCTCGGGGGTCGCGGGCGATCCGAGAAGGACGCCGCTCGGGGGTCGCGGGGGCGGGCGCTTCAGCCTGAGCCCTTCGCAGCCCGGCTCAGCTCGCCCCACAGCCTCTGGGGCTAATCCTTCCGCCTCCTCGGAAACTGTTTTTTCCTGGTTTTGTCCCCCTTAGATTTGGATTCTGTACCTGTTTAACTCCAAAAAACCAGATTATTAGTGCTATCCAACATTTACAGATAGACCAAACACTGGAGCGCTTTCAGTTTAAGGAAATTTTAAATAGGAAAACTAAAATCAGATAAAATAGTATTAGAACTCTTTGCAAATACAGTTTTCAGGGTCTCTGTAGAAAATCTGTTCAACTATTAAAGGTTCTCAGGGCCACTCCCTTGGGAAACTTGACTATCGTTTAGGTGATTCGCATCTCTGTAAACCTTTGATCATGTGTTACACATTAACTTTGGATGCTAATAAATTTATACCAAAATAATGTTTATCATTTTCCATTGTTATTCCTAGTACCTTCAAACTGAAACTTGTAACAGGAATAATAGTTTGTATCTGATTATTAAAATTTTAGAGTTGTAAAGTTTTTCACGTGTATTTTTATACCTTACTACCAGTTTATTCTACTAACATAATTAAAAGCATAAGGCCTACAGAAATACCTTCATACGTCTGAAATTATGCTGCAGACAATGATACAGACTTGAGTTACTGCTTTTTTTAACTGAAGTTTTAAATCTTACCATTTTTCAAATGGTAATAGAAGCCTGATTGTTTTACCCTGTTATAAAGTTCAGGTGTATCCTAAGCTATTATTTTATAACTGTAGTTTTTAAAACAAATGTCAGCTTTGTTGATTCTAGTCTTAATTGTCACAGTTCTGAAGTCTTGTTTCACCTCTGCTCAGTCAGTGTTCTCCTTCGTGTCCTTGTTGATGTTTTCTGATCTTCAGCCTGCAGCCAGAGGGTCTCTCTCTAGGAGTGAGGAAAAGCCTGTTCCGGTTAACGTTTCTCTCTTCCTAGTTGGGTGATGGCCTAGGCCAAACGTTGACAGTTGTGTTCTTGTTTGCTTATCTGCAAAACAATAATAGGTTGTTACTATTATTTTGATCTGGCTCAAAAGAGTAATTTGAAATTCAGTAAAGCTAGACAAAGTGTGACTATTTCTCATGTGTTTAAAGCCAGGTTCTGTCTCAAGGACGTGTTGTCAGGTAGATTTTCACAACTATTTGCTCATTAAATGAAAAAAAATTCAAACCAATTTGCTGTAAGGAAGGCCTACTGGGATAATTCAAATAAAGGAATCCCAGTATAAGAAAATTCCTTTCAGTAGACCTGTAGATCAGCTTATGGACATCTCTGGTTAACTTTTGTCTTTTTTGTGTGTGTTTATGTGTATGGTGCTGGCATTTAACTTGGGGTGTCAAGCATGCTAAAGTTTTGCTTTACCGTTTTAACTACATGCCCAGTCCTAGTCATTTTATTGGCCAAAATAAAACATTACCTGAAGATCATCGAGTTTGCTGCATAATTACTAGCTGTGATGTGAAAGTGAGTCTAGGCCTATAATGACTTTTGTTGCATCTGTTGCTTTATTTGTAGTACAGTGTACATTTTGGGGGGATAAAATTAAACAGTTATGATTACAAATTTACCAAAGTATATTGCTGGCATATCTCTTGGAAGAGATAAATGGGAGTGGGCAGATAGATTTGCAGTTCACATTGATGCAAATTAGGTAAATACTTTCTTTGTGTGTGTGGGGACAATCACTGGGGCTGCAGATGTAGCCCAGTGATAGAGCATGCATGAGACACTAGGTTCTATTTCCAGCACCACAAGAAAAACAAACGAAAATCCCAGGCAAGATACTCTGTAGTCCATTAGTCCAACTTAAGTGCTAAACTTTTCTCTGGAGTCCTTGGTTTACAGGAAGGGATTCTTGAAGCTCTTGAAGATAGGAGATAATTCCTGGAAGATTATTTTACAGTTCTTTTCCATTAACTTCAGCCTGTAATAAATTGGGGCATTCAAACAGAATAATTCCTTTGGACTCTGCATATGATGTAGTATAACGGAGCTGAAGAGAGATGTTCTTTTAAAAGCAGGCTTCTTGGAAATAGATGCATACTGCCTTTTCTTTCAGACTCTTGCATAGGGCATTTCAAAACATCACATTTAGTTGGCTATTACATGTATAGGATATAGTAGCAGTTTGCTAGGATATGTGGAATTGTAGGATAAAAGGTATAGGAAGCCGCCTTTTCATGTATCCAACTTAATTCATAATTTGCATCTTTCCAATATTTCTCTCAGCTGTTTATTTTCTTCCTATTTCCCATAGGGCACAAAGCAATCAAAACTGCAAAAAGCTTCTACCACCATATCTACCTTTCCACCCAAATCTCTTTTCTTTCATTGCTATGAATGTGTTTTCATCAAAAATCAACCCTTGTATGGCTGGGGAGATAGCTTGGCAGTCTAACCACCTGCCTGGCAAGCACAAGGATCTGGGTTTGATTCCTGGTACTGCATGCCATGCTGGCCTCGGAACCCCGAGCACACCATGCCAGCCAATGACACTGGGTATGGTGGTGCACGCCTGTAATCCCAGTCCTGGGAAGGAGGATCACTGTGAATCCAAGCTGCTTAGTGAGACTGTACCAAATAAGTACATAAATAAATAAAAGATTAAAAAATAAAAAATCAACCCTTGTACGTGTGCACTACAGCCTGTCCTTCTGGCCTTAAATTTATTGATGTATAATTTGCTAGTATTTCTTCTATTTCATCAATTTTTGTTTTAATGATATTTTATTGGCAAACAATGATACTGTTATTTCTTGATCTTTTGGCCTCATTTCCATAAAGTTATGACATCATTTCTGGCCTTATTTATTTTCCATTTTGCTTTTTTTTTTCTCTCCTTTTCTTGCCTTCTTTAGGTCTAAGTGACTTTTTTTAGTGTTCCATTTTTATCTCTACTAACTGGCTTATCTGTGCATTTATAGCTTTTTTAGTGGTTGATCTAGGGTTTATAATTATGCATATTTAATTTGACATGACACTCTAAGACATTTACAAATAAAGTACATACTTTGAGTTATTGTTGTTTTACTTTTTACTGATATGCATCTTATAAGCCCTTTGGCATTATTATTTTAGCTTTAATGAACAATTGTAAGGAAATTTTAAAACGGAAAATATTCCTTTTTTATTTACTCAAACGTTTGTTGCTATTGGTATTCTGTATTCTTTATGTGCATCTCAAGTCTCTGTTATTTTCTTTCTGCTTAAGAAACTTCCATTAGCATGTATTTTATATCTATCTATCTATCTATATACATATATATATATATACACATACATATATACATATTTTGGTAATGAATTCTCACAAATTTTCTTTGTCCAAAAAATCTTAATTTTACCATTTGTTTTTAAAGCTATTTTACTAAGTATATAAATATAAATGGGCAGTTTCTTTCAGCATTTTAAAGAGGTCACTCTAGTATTTTCTGTGCCTGAGTTGTTCCTGCATACATCTCCTATATCTTTTCTCTCTACATTGTTGTTTTTCTGAAGACAAGTTCAGGCTGGCCTTCAACTCACTGTGTAGCCTCTCTCTGCATGTGCTGTCTATTTTCCTGACTGCTTTTAAGGTAACCTCTTCATCAGTGATTTTTATCACTTACTAATACTGTGTCTTGATCTGGTTTTCTTGTTTTTTTTGGATTGTGTTGAATTTATGTTTTAGCTAACTTAGGACTTTTTGTCACCCTCCCCCATACGTACTGCTTGTTCTTTTTCACCTGTCGTTTTCCTACTTACTTGCATGTGAAATCATGTTTTTATTGGATACTAGACATACTGGTTTTATGCTATTCAGTTCTGGATTTTTTCTATTTCTGTCTTTAGTTTTAGTTTTAATTTTTTGATTTTTAGAGGAATGATTTCGTTGTGTAGTTCAGGCTGGACTTGCACTCACTATGTAGCCCCGCCCGGCCACAAGCTCATGGGGCTTCTCCCCCCCCAGCCCCCCAAATGCTAATATTACAGACATGCACCATCATGCCCAGCTCATACTTTAGATAGTATTGGACTTTCATCTTCACGGCAATTAAATTACTTGTGAATCAGTTTATTTCTTTAAGGATTACTTTTAGTCTGTTTTAGGGAAAGCTTTAGTAGTCTAAACTCTAAGGTTACTATAGCCTCATTGCCAAAGTGTTACCCTGCTGGGTTCCCTAATGAAAGCCTCATGTATTCTGTAAGCACTCTTGAGAACCTGAATGCTTCCCAGTTCTGTATATTCTTTAGGAATAGTTTAGTTTATAGCTTCCTAATGATTGCTTTTTTCCCTAGAATTTGTTCTTGGCCTACCCTGATTGGACTTCAGTATGTTATTTTTTTCCACATACAGGACTTCTCTCATCTTTGGTACCATCATAAATTCTAAGTGCTTAAGTTTCAGTGAACTCTGACCTGTGTTGGTTCAGCTTAGGCTGTTTGATTCTTCTCTCTTTGTGCTGTGGTTCAGAAACTAGGTTGAAAAACAAGAGACACTGTAGGACTGATTTCCTTCCCTTTCCTCAGGTTCAGAAGTGGTAAGGCTCCAATGATCTGTTGCTTGAGAAAATTTCACGAAAAATTAAATTTAAAAAACTACAAATCTAATTTCTTATAAGGGATAACTTACTGCTACTTGTAACATTTCTCCCACGTGGCTTGTAAGATTTATTGCAGGTACTTATCTGCTTATAAAAACAGAAAGGAAAACAATTTTGGAACTTCAAGGTGTATAAAACCTGAAATATATTTTACTCTAACTATAATAGTTAATCACGGTACTAATTTACATCCTGCTACCTTAAAGTCTCATGAAGAAAGGCTATATATGGTTATTCTTTAATCATTTTCTGACTTTAAGAGCAGAAAATAGCCAGTAGAACTAATGAAGATAAGATTTACTAAAGATTATGATGTATTCAGTCAAAATAACTGAGTTAATAACAAATAAGGTAGGCCATATCCTAAGCCCTGAATGTAAAAAACTCACAGGTCAGAAAGAGAAAAGAGCTAAAAAAAAATGACTTCTGTTTTTTAAAAAGTGAAAATTTGAAAAACAAATGTTGAGATCCTAAACATAAGTAGAAATGTAAAAATCAGCAGAGTTTTGAGTCAGAAGAAGAAAGGGGTGATACCTGAATATATGTTATCGCTTCAGTTTTCCATGTTGCATCAGACAGAGATGGATGAATTATAAACTTGCCAAAGCTCTATAATATGTTGGATATCCCTAAGCCCTTCCTTGCTTTAAAATATTATTAGTCCCTTTAAATTTAAGTTCTAATGTGAACTAGCTGCTAAAGAAGAGCTGTAACAGCTGGGATTGGATATATTGCCCATGAGAGGCCAAATGAAAGGAATTACAGAGCCTTTATTAATTTAGCCGGTGACCAATGTGTTTCCCCCTCCAAATTAGGAAAACACAAAAGGTCCAGTTCTTTGTTCTCTACCAGCTTTATATAGTTTCTTTGTTGAAATGGCAATTGGGCAGGAATGTGGTACCCCCTACATCCTATGGTATGAGGTTTCAGGCAGAGGATCTAAGTAAGCATGGTCAGATGGTCTGGCTCTTGTTGCCCTTTATTGGTCCTGTCTCCTACTTATCTCCTACATGTTTGTGAAGTTTTGAAGGGCAGGGGAAGGAGGGAGGGATGGGTAATCAAAAGGAAAGGTGACTGTAGAGATCCATTGGTCTCACTGCAATCTGGTCTACTCGGGGAGAAATGGTGACAGGAATGAGAAAAGATAGATGAGAAGACAAAAGCTGGGCTAGGTGGCCGCTGGTCTACCTGATAGGCTAGATTAACTCAACACACAACAAAACAGTCCTTTATTCATACTTTTGCAAAGTTAGAAATAGGTGACACAAGGTTGCCTAGCAACTAATAGCCAATCTTAACCAGACAGGATGTTTATCTCAGGACTGCATAGCTTGTTTGCTTTAGGCAGTGAGGCCTAGTCCCACCTCCACACATTTGATCAATTTCCTAGCTTCCTTGACTCCCAACAGGTGGCCTGGCCCAGATGTCTTCTGTGTAAATAGGCAAGGGTTAAACTTTGACTTCTGCCTCAGTCTTTCCTACTTCTAAGGTGAATAGGGAATTATGCTAGATGCCATCCCTTACACTTTTTCTGGGCATTCTTAAAATACTAGATAAGACCAAGAAATCTAGAAAATTATATATAAATAAAATGTCAGAAAGTTTAGAATATAAATAATTTTGTCAACATTCATAGTATTTTCTGTTCTATTTAATACACTTTTAAAATACAAACAAAGGGTAAATTTCAGATTGGCCATGCAGAACATTAATTCTGAGTTAAAGTTGGTACTTTACAGTAGTCTTTAGTAGTATGATTAAGTAAATATTTCTATTAGTTCATATAAATTATATGGGTATTTACTAATACTATATTTTTATGAATTTTCAAGTTTTTTAATGGCACATACTTGGCTTTTATTGATTAAAAAACACTAACGTTTTTGTCTTGGGCAAAAACAAAAATAAAATTCATATATATTTTATGTTTTTAATTTTAGGAACAAAAGTCAAGAAATGCCTCATTCCACAAACAAAGAACTAATATTTGCTATCATGGTGGGAACTGCTGGTATCAGCTTGCTGGTTTTATGGTATCAAAAAGTTCGTAAACCAAGGACAGCAATGAGTTTGCCAAAATTATTTTCTCTGGATCATACATTTGCTTCAACAACTTTGCAAGATAAAACATATAATGGCCAAGGAACACCAGCAATCTTTCAGAGAAGGCAACTTCAGATATTGGAGAAGTTAAATGAATTACTGACAAATATGGAAGAACTCAAAGAGGAAATCAGATTTCTTAAAGAAACTATTCCAAAGCTAGAGGAATATATACAAGATGAACTTGGAGGGAAGATAACGGTTCATAGGATAAGTCCTCAGCACAGAGCTAGAAAAAGAAGAGTGACTGTGGTTCAAAGTTCAGCAACAAGTAATAGTTCAGAGGAAGCAGAAAGTGAAGGAGGGTAAGTTTCTTTAAGATGTGTTCCCATATAATTAACTGTTTATTGCATTATTGACATTATGTAGGTCTTCTTATTATTTATGTCAAGTCACATATTCTGATACTAGCAAGACATGAAAAGGAATGAGTATTACCATTTTTTAAGAGTAGCAAAATTTATTGGGGAATAGGAACAGTTTCTGAGAGATAGGAAGAGTGCTGAATGGAGTGCCAATGAGCTTCTCTGAGAAAGTTTTATAGAGCAAAATCACAAGGTGGGTACAACATGGGGCAAAACTATAATCAACCAATAAAATTATATGTAGAGCTGCTTGTTTAATGTTGATCCAGTGGTAGCAAGGGCATATGGATGACATCATTAACCTTGGTCAATAATCTAGTCTTTAGTCTTAGCAGTCATCTTAGCCTTAGTGGACAAAAGAAAATGGGACACCCCAGTGAGGTAAGGTTTTATTTATACAGGAAACCTCAGAAGGGTGGTCTCAAAATCTCAGACTTCCATGTATCCCGTAGGGAAGTCTAACCACTGTAACTTTAATCTTCTTTAGATGTGCCTCCAACCACAGTTTGGATGTGTTCTCATCTTCCCTACCAACTCCCTCAAGGGCCTAGCCATGTCTGACTCCCTATAATATTTCTACTGAACTTGGCTGTCTCTAATATTGCCCCCTCTGAAGAGGTAGCCCTAACTGCAGTTGGGAGACAAGGGGATATTATTTTCATCTAGATGCTTTGAGCGGAGAGTCCACTATCAGGAGCCTTTTCCAGAGAGCTAATCTGCTGGGCTTTGGACAGAAGTTATATTGTACTTTAACAACTATGATTCCCCTTCACAAAATTAACCTCATAGAGTCCGGTAAAAGGAATTTGGCATATTTGTTATTGATTCCATCTGTGTTATCACTTGGAGTTTGGCAGTTTCTAGGCAAGAATAAACAAATTTTTCAAGAAATTAAAGCATGTATAGTATAGGGATGAACACTAAAATGAAAAGGCAAGAAAAGAGCCATGTCCATACACTGATTTTAAGGGACTGGAATAGTAATTGTAATCAGCTGGTTCTTAGATCTCTCTACTGATGGAGATTATCTAAGTCTGATATTTCTTGCCATAAGTCCCTCTAGTTTTAGCTGTAAGAAGATGGAGTGTCTGGTGGTTTTGCAGGACAATTTTAGCCAAGGAACTTAAACACTCTTGTTGAGGTTTTATAGCTTCCACTATAGTTTTTAAGCCTCACTGAACCATAATAGCTATCAGTATACCTGGAAACTGCCAGAAGGGCAGTTGGAGCTTCTTTTAATATCTAGCTTTTATTACAATGGTATTATTTTCATACATCTTTTGGTTATACTTTTCTACTGGGTATTTAAGACCAAGTTAAAGCAACACCTTTGTTAATCAAAATTGAGTTCTTGCTATCTGTCAAGATGAGTTAAGTCTTCTCATCCATTACTTTTGGAACCATGGACAGAGCCTCTCAGCTGATATGTAAGTGTCAGCTGCCAGAATGAGTCACCATCTCGCTTGACCATGTTGCTTTCTGTAAAAACACAGGAGACTTTTCCATTTGTGGTGACTCTTAATTTTTGGTACACTATATATTCATTGGTTCCTATTCTCTGGGGTCCATCAATCTCCCTGCTCAGGAGGTTGGGTGACTCAGTAAAATTGCCTCGTCCTGGGTCCTCACTGACTTTAAGAGGGCCAGGCTTCCTTCACCTCAGGCTGTCCTCTTAACTGAGTTACTGTCTCAGTTACTCTTCTCTCCTTGCTGGGACGAGTACCTGGCACAAAATGAAGGAAGGAAAGGTTTATTTAGCTCACAGTTACTAGAGGTTTCAGTCCATATTTGGCTGGTTCCAAGGCAGTGTTACACATGGCAGAGAGCAACCTTTCATGGTGGCTGCAAACAACAGAGAGCAAAGGGAGTGGTGGCAGCTCAGGCAGCTAGTTAGCTTCTCTCTCTTTACCTTGTAATGCAAATTGTCTGCCCCAGTGCGGGTGCAGCATCCATACCCACAATAATTAATCACAAACTCTAGAAGCTACCCCATGACTGGGTGAGGCTTTAGGGGAGACAGCTAGGCACAAACTTCAACAGTTGCCTTTCTAGTTTTGGTCTACAAACTTCAGTTGTTGAACACCTAGAAATAACCTCAGTACTTTAGTTGGAGCAATGAGCTTATCTATTATAATCTCATTTCAATATGAAATATAAAGTACAACTAGAGGAGTGTTATTTCTAACCCATCATGGTTGTTTTAGAAGTTGAATTCCTGCAAAATGTTAACAGACAACAATTATAAAGTTTTAAAGGGAAACTTGAGCTCAAGAGTTACACATGGTGTTTCATCATGACAAATATATTATTTTTGAAACACAATGTGTATCTTAGTATAGAATAACCATTTTAGTCAATCATCTCTATCTAGTACTCAAAGAAGCTCTTGCCTAATTTGTTATTCTTTCATAAGTTGTCATTGAAGAAGTATATGACATTGTCTGGACTGCTCAGTGCCTGAGCATCTTTAAGTATAATGATTCATATATAACATGTACATCATATAAGCTTTTCTTTTTTTAAAAAAACTATCATTTGACTAGTGGTCTTATACTTGCTTGATATGTACCTCTTATCACAAGTAGCTGGAACACAAAAGAAAGACAGATATTTGAGTGTAAAAGAAAATGTTATTACCACAGACAATCCTGGTTTTATATCTTAGGAAACCTGTCAACCACATAGCATGAATACATTTAGTGCACCATGAAATTAGCAATAATGAATGTTACAGCTATATGGAGTCTTTATCTCTTAATTTAGTATTGTAGGGCTGGCCAAATAGCTCAGTGGACTGAAGTGCCTGCTTAGGCAGAGCACAGCGACCAGGGTTTGATCCCAGGCATGCTGTGCTGGCCCTGCCCCTGGGGCGTGCTGAGACGTTGATTGAGACTGGGCGGGGTAGCATACACCTGTAATAGGATGAAAACAGGAGACTCACTACGAGTCTGATCTTTGTGGTGAGACCTTGTAGACCCTGTACTAAATACATAAATAAAAATTTGTATCAAGAGCAACTTTTAATGAGAAAACCTTATTGTTTTATCCATAGAAGACCTACCCTTTTGATAATGACTGTAAATCTATTATAATGATATGTTTACAATATTTATTGGGGTTTGTCTCCATACAGATATGAAAAATATTGGGGTACTTGCATGAATAAAAAATGGAATAAATGTTTTGAGGCAGCTGTTTCTTTATTCACTAAGGAGAGTCTCATCCAGCAGTTTCCTAAGCCTAAGGGGTGCCCATTTTATTATCATAACAAATTTTTTCAGATAACCTATGAGAACTAGATAATGACAACATATTATTCTTGACCAATAAAAAATTCACAAGTTATTGTACACAGACAACAATCTGCATTGTATTTGTAAAACCAGTCTTGACATCATTTTGGTCAGCTGGAAACTTAGTTGGAAATATTTCCCTAACCTCAGATACTTACCTGTAAGCCAATTTGAATTATGAACATAAGTGTTTTTAAACTCCAAAAAAGTAAAACAAAACAAAAGTTGTTGAGCTCAAACAAAATAGCTGTAGGTGCTGCAATTGATCACACATTGAATAGACAGATACACATAAGACACATGTTAATGGACCAGAGTTCACTCTAATGTATTTGGCCAAGTTGAGTTATAATAACACTTTTATATATTTTAGGTTTATAACTATGAATAAACTAGTCAGAACCTTTTATAGGCTAATTGACAGAGATCTCTTGGAATTAAGAATTAGAATGATTAAAAACCTTTCACATCTGTGAAAGCAAAGACAGTTTTTTAGAGAGGACCTGGCTGCTGGTTTATTTGGTTGGAATACCCCACTATATAGGCTTATCATTGTTGCTTTGGTAGTCACAGTTCTTTGATAACCACAACTGGTAGCCAAAATGGATGTTTTGATAGCCACATGTAACTGTTCCCTCTAAAGGGTCAAACTGTCGAAGGTAGTGCTATTTTCATGGAATGCACAGACCAGGTTTGGGCATAGAAAGAGACTAACCGGTACTCTGGAGTTCAGTATGTAGTCCAAACAGTGGGGCAAGAAGCATCCCAAGGCTCCAATCTTCAGATGTCTACCTATGACATTTTTATCCCATTATGAAAAAAAGAAAAACTAGGGGAAATGAGTTGTCCCTGTCTAATCCCTCTTGCTTTGTGCCCAGTCTAAGGTATACACTGGACTTAACCCTGCTCAGTGCCAGTAGTAGTGAACTAGAGGTGCAGTGAAGTGGCCAGAGCAAGGCAAACGGCTTGTATCACGTGCCTGGATCCCCTTCCTTATGACCACGTGACCCTTGAAGCATACTTAGCTGAAAAAGGTTTTCTTCTTTTCAGAACCTCAGTTAGAATATCTCTGACTATAGTTGTTGATCTGGCAAAATATTCTGGAGAAAAATTATGACAAAGGAGAGACAGTTTTTTTGGAGGCTGAGGCTATGGCTATTCCTTAATACTTGTTTCTGTTGTTGAAAACTCTGTTAGAATTTAGCCAGTGAGGTGACATGTTTTAGCAAGGTATCTTTTCTCTTTTGAAGAGAAAATCATTAGTAAACAATATTATCTACACATTGCAGGACTGTGACTTAGGAAAAAATTTAGAACAGGGTCAGTAATGGACAGCACTTGATAAAAAAAATGAAGAGTGTCTCAATGCAAAGAAAGTCTGAACAGAAGGTAATTCTGACCCTTTTGCCCTCTCTTACACTACATGCTAGATGCAAAATAATATCATAATCAATACTTTCTTCTGCATTCTACTTCAAGTAGAGTGGGTTAGGCAGACAAGGTTTGGGTGCAGAATATTAAACCACTCTTTCTCAATACATGAGGGTCAAGCAAATTTTAGTACTTAAGAATATATTGCACAGAAGTAAGTGGATTCAACTTTGAGTCTTCCTCAAACAAGGGGGAAAAATAGGCATCCCTTGTAAT